TAGGAGCAAGGATGTTGTCCAGTACCACATTGTAGTTGCTAAAATTTATCAAATTTATAAAACTTACCATTGCCACATGATACTATCTGGTATATAGTTCGTGTTCATATTTTATTTTATTTTTTTGAGGAGGAATTTTGCTCTTGTTGCCCAGGCTGGAGCGCAGTGGTATGATAGTAGCTCACTGCAACCTCTTCCTCCCGGGTTCAAGCAGTCTCCTGCCTCAGCCTCCCAAAGTTCTTGGATTATAGGCGTGAGTCATGGTGCCCTGCCATGTTCATATTAAAAAAAAAAAAAATTATTTTTTTAAGCCTACAGCACCCAGTATTCCCAGGCAGTCTCTCAATCCAAATACTAACCAGGCCTCACCCTGCTTAGCTTTTGAGATTCGGTATGTTCAGAGGGGCATGGCTGTAGACCATGGTCATATTTTGCCAAGTAATGTTCCTTATAGCACTTCTTTCCCTTGATTCAAGACCCTATCTGGAATCACTTGTGATTTGTCTTGTCTCCTCTTGTCCTCATCCTTGTCCTTGTCCTTGTCTTATGCCTTGTCTTTCTGAAAGAGTCTCACTCTGTCACGCAGGCTGGAGTGCAGTAGTGCTATCTTGGCTCACTGCAAGCTCTGCCTCCTCGCTTCAAGGCTGTCTCTCAGTCTCCTGCCCCAGTCTCCCAAGTAGTGCCACCACACCTGGTTAATTTTTTTGTTTCACTAGGTTGGCCAGGCTGGTCTCGAACTTCTGACCGCAGGTAATCTTCCTAACTTGGCCTCCCAAATGCAAAATAGCATTTATTTCCTGGTGTACTGTTGTATTTTAGGGTAAAGATGCTGTATTGTTCATCATAACTGTTAATCCCAACTTCTTCAAGCAAAAGTCTGTGTTTATTACTTGCCCATTAGGATATGTTCAATACAAACAGTAAGTATAGCTGGAGCTAGTGATGCGTGAATGTGAATAGAAACAAAGTATGTGGATTTTGTTTGTTTTGTTTTGTTTTGTTGCGATAGACTTTCGTTTGTTACCCAGGCTGGAGTGCAATGGCACGATCTTGGCTCACCGCAACCTCTGCCTCGTGGGTTCAGGCAATTCTCCTGCCTCAGCCTCCTGAGTAGCTGGGGTTACAGGCATGCGCCACCATGTGCAGCTAATTTTTCGTATTTTTAGTAGAGACGGGGTTTCACCATGTTGACCAGGATGGTCTTGATCTCTTGACCTCGTGATCCACCCACCTCAGCCTCCCAAAGTGCTGGGATTATAGGCTTGAGCCACCGTGCCCGGCCTGGATTTGTTTTTTTCATTCATCACACAGTCGAGTGCCTCCAGTGGCTCAGGCCCAGTACTCTTTTCTTTTCTTTTGTTCATTTTTCCCCACTCATCTTTCAGACGATTACTTGGTGATTTGGAGTTATTTTTGGCACTTCCCCTAGTTTTTGATGTTAATTTTAGTAACAGTATCTCCTTTTTAAAAGGCATCTTTCTTTGTTAATTTACGACATTGAGATTATCACTTAAAGTTAATGCCAGAGGAGGAAAAATAATTTTCCATTGTACAAACCTTATATGAAATGATTCGCCATAAAACGAATAAATGTGTGCATACTACCTAGTTTTTATCTCCTAGTGACAACAGCTTTGAAATAAAAAAATTCTGGTAGAATAATGGTGTTTGGGCATATATATGACATAGGTGACAACATGACCTAAAATGAAGGACTAGATGTGACTTTTAGGCCACATGGCCAGAAATGGTACATAAGATTTGAATGGGGAAGATTTGTGCAACCCAAAATGATAATTTTATTCTGGACCTGCAGGGTTGATGAAGGCTACCTGTTGGATTTGTGTGGAGACTGTGGACCCTAACTCTATCATTGTTTGATGGAGCGGGGGTGGATGCGACTTGATCATTGTGAGAGCTGAACTTGCAGTGTATGGAGCTGAATTTGTATAGTGCACATGTCAGTAGCAGTGATACATTGGGGAAAACTTGGATCACTTATGTATGCTTGTCATTAATTCTTTTGCAATTTCTTGAATGAAAAATTTTGAATTAGTAAACATAATTTAAAAATAAAATGTATAGTTCTTTTGAATTTGGCTTTAAATGTTTAGAATAAGTCTTTAGATTTAAAGGTTAGGATATACTTTTATTCATTAGACAGTAAAGTTTACTGTGTATACATCTGGAAGATTGTTCAGCCTGTTGAAGAAAATGTATCCTCCTTTGTTTGCTCCCAGCCCTTACCTTTTCTTCCCCAACCCTACTTTTATTCACGTAAGAAGATGTAAGAAGGTTGGAAACCAGGGTGTAACTTTTGATGCAAAAATACTCTTTTTTCAAAAAAGTATGGAGAATGGGGTCTTACTATATTTCCCAGGCTGGATTTGCACTCCTGGGCTTAAGCAATCCTGCCATCTCAGTCTCCTGAATAGTTGACATTACAGGCGTGCACCACTGTACCTAGCTAATTTTTTTTTCCCTGAGCTGAATCTCACTGTGTCACCTGGGTTGGAGTGCAGTGGCACCATCTTGGCTTATTGCAACCTCCACCTCCCTGGTTCAAGCAGTTCCCCTGCCTCAGCCTCATGAGTAGCTGGGATTACAGGTGCACACTACCACGCCCAGCTAATGTTTTTGTATTTTTAGTCGAGTCCCAGTTTCACCATGTTGGCAGACTGGTCTGGAACTCCTGACCTCAGACAGTCTGCCTGCGTTGGCCTCCCAAAGTGCTGAGATTATAGGCGTGAGCCACGCTCCTGGCCTAAAATATTTTTATTATGGAAACAGTCAGTTTGTAAGTGGATTTTATTGAGAAGAGGAAGATAACACAGCTTGTTCAAATGTTTGCGTGGCATTTGTACAGTAATCATGAAGGCTGTTTTTATTTTAGGACATACTGTGGCTGCTGCCAGATATTTACCCAAGGTGTGGTACAGAGTTGTTTTCTCAGCTGAAGCACTTTGTTTTGTACCACTGAGTCTAAGGCTGGCCCCAAAAGCAGTGGCAGGGCAGTTCCCATAAGGGAGTGACCCAAACATATTCTGGAATGGGGCTGGGTGATCAGTCTAGAGCATTCGTTGGGGAAACTTAGAGAGGATTATGACAATCCTCATGACAGCCAAAAAAAAAAAAAAAAAATGCAGTGGGAGTGTTCTCTTTAGGTATATCTGTAGCAAGGGGATTAAAGTGTGGAGTTTTTATGAGTTTGAGAAATTTGTCTCAGGTCCAGGGCTAGTTTCTTTCAGTGTTTCATGCAGCAACTTAGACACCTTTATCTGTACCTGGGAATGTTTCAAGGTTCTGTACTGGGTTCGTGTCTGCTGGGGAAAAGTTGCACCTGGCTGGGTCACAGAACAGTCAAGGCACCCTGATATTTGGTCAGGACATAGAATGAAGGCACAGGGAAACAGAACAACCCTACGCTAGTGGACTTAGTGAAGGGTGCCTTCTATTTGCATCATCTCTCTTTGCATGAGAGGAGACAAAGAAACTCTGAATTTAGTACCATGAATTGTGATAGATGTGAAGAGAAGGTTGTGTTGTCATCTTAGATAACTGTTAGAATGAAGTAGAGAGCCGTTAAATTTGAGGATACGAAAAATGAGATTGTACTGAGGATAGTTTTGAACAGAAGAAGTAATTTCGGTCATACTCTTTTTGTTTTGTTTGTGAGAGATGGGGTATTGCTATGTTGCCTGGGCTGGACTTGAACTCCTGGGCTCCGGTGATCCTCCTGCCTCAGCCTCCCTGATAGCTGGGACGTACAGACGTGCAGCTGCTACCACCATGCCCAACTAAATCATAATCTATATGTAAAGATTACATTGTAGTATATACATGTTGTACTTTTGTGGTCACATTAAAAATACATAAACGTATTTGATATATTTTGGGCCTAGGAATATGTAGTTACATTAAACCAGTAGGTAGTAATCCCATTATTTTTGTTTTCTTGCCTATTTTTCTTAGGTTAAATCAGGTTTCTTTTTTATTTTTTAACTAAAAGATGACATTTGCTTTTCTTAAACTTGGGAAATACATATTAGCAAATTTCTGTACTCAAAGGTGGTTCTTAGGTAGTAATTCAAGGGTGCCAATTAGAGTATACTTTAAACCACCTGTAATTATATCCAGACTTTATATATACTTAGGCCATAAAAATAAACTTTCCTCCTCTCATATTTAAGTCCACTTTATATAGACAAATTCATGGCATAACTTTATTTTCAGAAAATCAGATGTGGAAATACAACCACAGCTGAAGTAAGTTATAATTTCCCCAGGAAGTAAGTATAAAACTATACAGTAATGATTATAAAAAATTTAAAATTTGTAAACATATATTTGCAGTTTCTTGCCCTCCATCATTCATTTTAAAAAATTTCTTAAAAATGTGCAAATTAGGTGTATATTTTAATGACATCTGAAATACAGGAGATCCATATTTCTATATTATATTTAACTAATTCTTATTTCTTTAGGAGCAGAAATCAAATGCTTTTAGTTGCTGTTAATTATCCTTATATCTGTTTTTGATGTTTAGCTTTCCTGTTTGTGAATGAACTAATTTATTAACTATTAAGATGCATGGAAAGGCCATATCCCAAAAGAGCAGTAATTATAATAGCTTTATATAATTAACTGAAAGCGGTATTTTTCTCTAAAATGTTATCTTCCTAGAAAGTTTTAAAGAAAGATGTTGTTCTCTAGAATATCCTTTGTCCTGTTCTACTGATGAACTGCAGATAATGGTGATTTTTAGATTTAAAGCAGTTGTGGGACTTGTTTAAAATTTTATGTAGTATTTTAATTTGTAACTATGCTATGCTTAAAAATCATAGCAACCAAAGTCTCTGATGTGAAGTGTGCTGTGACACATTTGGAGATGGTTCTGTAATTTGCTGGTGGAGGTGTGAAAGTTAAGGAGGTCAAATTTTTAAATTGGTTACAGATTGTTTCTGAGATAGATCAAGATCTGATCTCTCTTTTCTTTTTAGGTCAACTAAAGATGCCCCCTGAAACATAACAGCAGCGTTGGTCGGTGCAGTGAGGCAAGAAGGCCCCCCACGTTTGCATTCCAGGTAGCAAATGGGCCCAGCAAGTTATTTTTGCTTTTAGTTGAAGTGTCTTTTTATTATAGTGGCCCTTCCTTCCCTGTTTTACCTTTTACCTCTTTGTAGACTTTCTGAGTACTCAGTACATTATTAGAATTTAGAATGATGTTGATTTATCTATACAGTACATGTTTGTCTTCCCTTGACCTCTTTAGGTGATGTAGATGTATAAAAATTACAGTGCTCATTGATCCTGCTTCTCGTTTTCCCGCAATTGATTTTATTAGTTAAAAAGATTGAATTCACAAAGCTATAAGGTTCTGACCTACTTAATTATTTTTATTTCTAATTTTAGAGACAGAGTTTACTCCAGCTCAGGCTGGAGGTCAGTAACACTATCATAGCTCACTTGTAGTCAAGTAATCCTCTTGTCTCAGCCTCCTGAGTACCCAAGACTTCAGGTGCATGCCACCTTGCCTAGCTAATTTTTAAAAATTTTCTTTTTGAAGAGATGGGGGGTTTCACTTTGTTGCTAAGGCTCTGATCTACTCTAAAAATGCGGACATACTGAACATTAAGATTACATGAATAGCACATTAAGAAAAAAACTTTCATTTTGTTGGTTTCATATAACAGAGTGAATCTCAGAGGTCTGTGCAAGCCGCTTTGGAACTGGACTCAGCTTTGAACACCTCCTAGTCTTCCCTCGTCTCTAGTATAGGATAACCCCCTTTATAATCAGGCCGAGGTATTAATAACTTTCTTCTGGGTGGACCTGTCTACAGCTGATGGATCCTGGGGCCAGAGAACTATGGATACATGTTAACCTTGATGTTATTTATGCTCTCTCAGAATCTGTCAGGATAAGTCACACTGAGGCATAGTTGCTTACCACCTCTGGAGTGGGAGTGCTTGCCTTTGGTGAATTGTAATCCTGATTCTTTCTTGATGCCTTCTTGAGTTGTTAATATGAATCATTTTTTTCTTTTCCATGGTAGCTCCTGCTATAATATGCCCTGGGGCCCTGGAATGTTTCATAGGTGGAGAGTGGTAGCTTTTTTTCCTTCAGTTTGGTTGTATCATTTATGGACAGTTTCTCAAACAGATATAAAGTAAACATTTATATGTTGTTGAAAAGTTGTTCCTATTTCCCCCTTTCTTTAATGCTCTCATAGTTCTAATTAGCTATATACATTTAACAATTGTGATAATGCTTTTCTAACCTCTGATTGATGATTGATTTAAGATCACGTGTTACTTGTTAATATTGTAATTGCAGTGCTGATTGTTTATACAAATTTGTTAGAAAAATGAATTGATGTAGTGGATTTTCCTTCAGTTTTATTCTTTATATTTTAATCATTTTATTTTGGAAATTTAAAAATATTTACAAAAGTAAAGAGACTAGGATAATGAGCCCCAGTTTTAACATTGTGTTCCCTGTTCCAGACTTTTTTGCTGGAGTATTTTAAAACTAATCCTAAACCTCATATAGTTTCACCCATCTAAGTTTAGTATATATTCGTAACAGATAAGAACTTTTTAAGAAATACAATCACAGTACCATTACTCTGCCTCACAAAATTAAAAGTAATTTAAAAAAATTTTCTAATAACTAGGTTTATTTAATATTTAATTTTTAAATGTTTTAATTATTCCCAATTTTCTTTTAAAAAATAATCCTTTTTATGTGTTGGTTCTTTTTGTTTGTTTTTACGACAGAGTCTGTTTCTGTTGCCCAGGCTAGAGTGCAGTGATGTGATTTTTAGCTCACTGCAGCCTCCACCTCCTGGACTCAAGTCATCTTCCCACCTCAGCCTCCCGGTGACTGAGACTACAGGTGTGTGCCACCATGGCTGGCTAATTTTTATATTTTTTGTAGAGGCAGTATCTCACTCTGTTGCCCGTGCTGGTCAACTCTTGGCCTCAAGCAATTCTCCCACCTTGGCCATTTTATTTTTAAACAACAGTTTTTGTTGGTATTCTCAGAAATAGCTAATTGCCCTATAGAATTTCTCATATTCTCAGTTTGGCTTACTGTATCATGTGATGCTATTTAATTCATGTTTCTTGGTAGCTGGCTTTTAGAGGTTTAGTTAGACCTCGGTTCAGTTTTAGGGGGCAGTAATAGTTGCCATTGGCTTCACATCCTCCTTTTTGGGACAGGAAAGTTAATCATTAGTTCATAAGGTGTCATGATTCTTCCCTCCAGTGCCTTTAGCAGTCATTGATAGCTCACATCTGTAATCCCAGTGCTTTTGGAGGCTGATGCAGGAGGATCACTTGAAGCCGGGGGTTCAAGATCAGCCTAGGCAACAAAGCAAGACCTCATCTCTATACAGTTTTTTTAAAAAGTAGCTTAGTGTGGTATTGTGCACCCATAGTTTCTGCTGTTCAGAAGGCTGAGGAAGGAGGATCACTTGAGCCCAGGAGTTCAAGCCTATATGTTTCACCCTTGCTTTTGACTATTAGAGAGCAGTGGGAACTCTCATACACTATTGATGGGAGCATAAATTTGTACACCTACTTTGTACAGTAGTTTATCGGTACATAGTAAACATTAAACATACCCACATTCTTGGATCTAGTGGTTCCACTCCCATGTGCACATACAACAGAAATATGTGCACATGTGTATGAGACATACAGAATTCAGCAGATACCACAAATTGAGGCTTCTCCCCTTTAGTCCCTGCAGAGCTGGTTGTTAAATTTTTATCAGCACATCTTACATGCATATATCCCTGTCTTTGACACACATTGATGTGTCAAACACTGTTTGGCATTTAGTAGGTACTTACTTAATCTTAGCAGAATGAGTGGAAGAATAATCCTTTTAGCATGGTTTTTGGGTGATTGGGAATGTTGCTAGTTTGTAGGACTCTGTTTAAGGATTTTATTAGTTGAAATTTTGGGCACTAAATGGCAGAAGCACACTTATATTAGCTAAAATAGAAAAAACACCTATCATTTTAAGTAATTCGGAATTTCAGGGGTTGGGTCGGTTTCAGATGTGCTACCCTGCTTCCCTTCACTCTCTTCTTTCTGCACCACAACTTTGTCTTTGGGAAAATTCTTCTATTCTTCTTCTATTGACTGATATTAATGGACTAGTGTACTTCAGTAGGTCAGTGTGGGGAATTGAACAGGTGCAGTGTGCTTGTACCCCACTATTTGAATGACACAGATTCATGGTTCTATAGAAGTTGGCATGCTGTAACTAAATAAATATATGATGCTGGACAAGGTATTCCTGCATAGTTTCCTTATAGGAATTGTCAAGCTTTACAGGGTGTCACATAAATGCCTGATGTTTTGCTTTTAGAAATAGGGAAGTCCTTATATGTAGTTTATGCCCTTTCTACAAATAGTACTTATGGAGATTAGAATGCCTTGTTGAAGGTCACACTGTAAGTTGAGAAACTGCATTTGAACAAAATTGTGTCTTAACTCAGGAAACATAAGTTTCCAGTCTTAGAAGTAACTCATTTTAAATGTTGAGCAAATTAAGACTATAACTGGGAAAGGGGATAGTTATTGTTACTAAGAAAAGGTAATATTTTATTCAAGACACTATCAGTATCTGGCTTGAGGGTGGCAAGTACAAGTAATTATCAAAAACTGGTAGAAGAGAAAACATCTGCTAGAGAGAGAGTTGTTTTCAGAAGTGAACTTATATGCAGAAAATAGGGATAAGTCTATAATAACAGATGGTCAGAAAATTTCTTCACTATTATAGCAAAGGCTTAGAAGAATATAGACTTGATAAACATTACTTTTTAAAAATTTTAGGGCCATTTAGCAGGAAGATTGGGCAGGTGTTTAAATCTCTTAGAGCATGCAGGGCCATCATAAGGTCTTGTGCATTTGTTCTGAGGATCTTGAGCAGAGGTGTGACATAAATTTTAAGACTTGTTTGGATAGTTGTGTTCTAAAGAAAAGGAATCAAGGATGATGTCAAGGTGTTTTCATTAGCAACTAGGCGAATGGAGTTGCTATTTACTTAAAAAAGTTTTCTTGTAATTTATATTTTTTAGAGACAAAGTCTCATTATGTTGCCCAGGCTGCTAGAGTGCGGTGGCTATTCACAGGCATGATCATGGTATGCTAACAGCCTCAGACTCCTGTCCTTAAACAGTTCTCCTGCCTCAGCCTCCCAAGTAGCTGGGACTGCAGGCGCATGACACTGACCCCAGTGCTATTTACTGATTTGGGAAAATCTGTTTCAGGATTAGGATTTTAGGGAAAAGCCAGGGGTTTATTTTCAATTTCTTATAATTGTAAACAAGATTTTGGAGCAGTGATTTATTAAGATTTATGATTTATTTTCTGTAATGCCTATAGTTCCTTTATGAGTTTTAGTTATTTATTTGTATTTCTCTCTTTTTCGTGGTTGATGTTCTAGAACTTGTTTCTGAATACCAGAAACAATTTGTTTTATATATGTGTGTGATTCTATGTAGAGAGAATGTGATGGAAAGAAGGCAGGGTGAACAAGGGGGATGTTTATGGTTCACTGAATATCCATTTGAATTTTGTACCATGTATTTAATAATAATTGTATTTTGTTTTCTTTCCTTTTTTTTGTTTTTTTGGTTTTGTTTTTTTGGAGATAGTCTCGTTCTTCCGCCCAGGCTGGAGTGCAGTGGTACGATCTTGGCTCACTGTAACCTCCACCTCATGGGTTCAAGCAATTCTTGTGCTTTAGCCTCCTGAGTAGCAGGGATTACAGGTGTGTGCTACCACACCTGGCTAATTTTTGTATTTTTAGTAGAGATGGGGTTTCACCGTGATGCTCAGGCTGGTCTTAAAATCCTGGTCTCAAGTGATATACCCATCTCAGCCTCCCAAAGTGGTGGGGTTACAGATGTGAGTCACTGCTCCGAGCCTGTATTTTCTTTTCTTTTGTTTTTTTTCCCCAATTAAACTTACAGCAAATATACCATGCAGGTGTATTTTCTGTTCAAAAGAATAAATGAAAGAAACAACATCCAGTAAAGTCCTCAGTACTTAGAAATGAACTACCT